GATGGGAAAATACATGGATCCACCCACTTTAGTCGAAACTGGTCAAGAAATAAGTTTTTTGGTTACACCTAAGTATATGAAGTGCATCGGCTCTGATGAGAACATTTTCATCATATCTATATGCAGGTTTTTGAATGAACTCTAACCAGGAAAACGAATACCTTGGGACTGACTACGAAATGTGACATCACTTCTCAGGTCATGTTCCTCATAGGTAAAAGTCATTCACCTACTGAGATGAGTTCCTAAAATCTTACGCTTGTCACAACCTGCTGTACTATTATATCCGACGGCGTATCCAACTCTGCTACGAGCAGGAGTGCCACAAATGACAGCCACTAGCTTCACTGTTAGATTCACTTGACGTTTGTCAGAATTAAGGCCTACTTTCAACAACCATTGTAACTCAGTTACAACAGGTGCGGACATTGTTTGGGAATCAGATGGTTATATATCACTAGCATAGATGCCAACCAAGAATGCTTGACTGACACACAGAGCTATAAGTTGGCCCGATTTGGGCCAAAACTGTTGTTTGGAACTTCTGGACGCCTACAAGGTATCATAGTTCAGTTGTGTTTTCAGCTCGATAAAGTTGTTTTCGTGCAGCCGAATCTCTGAAGTCTTCAGAAAATTACGTTCTAGTACAAAAATGAAACACTTCAATGTCCATAAATTCAGGTTTTATATTGTGGCAACGACTGGACACACTTTTGACAAATTTCTCACGTTCAAGAATCACCGTTCGGAAAAGGTCTAGAATTTAACTGACCTTGTTAAGTGATATTGCCTCACTTCATCATACTAATCACAATTCTATGTTGTTTATTTTTCATTGACAGACACTTTGGTGAGGACTTCTCGAGGTCCATGCTTTTCGAATATTGTTAATCGAAAAAAAACATAAGACAATATCGGTCGCCGTAGAAGGTGCACGAATACTGTAACTACACCAGGGAATTTCAGGATTGGACTGTATAGCTGAAACGTCGTCTAAATCATTCGGATGTATCGTGCTACAGGTTTGTCTGTTAGTGACGGTCAAGCCATATTTCTCTAGGAACTTTTTTCTCAACTTCTTCAACCTTCTGTAAAATATCGACTAATATTAGCCCATCAAATTCCGCAATCTGTTGGCTACCACCCGTCATTAGCCTAAAAATCACTTAAGCGTAGATAAGCTTGACTGATCGTAAAAAATCACAAGCATAGCGTTAGGTTTTTGTAAAAGCAATGTTAAACAAACGCCTTTTTGTTTCGTGCACATATGACATATGTAAACAAGGCCGTATGTTTAGTGCAGAAATATTTGGTTGATTGTATTGTCATGTATTGTCATACTTATTTCTCAAAGGGCTTGCATAAGAAACTTCGCTACACCAGTTTTAAGGTTTTTCCCCAGAATGAAAGAATAACTGAAGTGTTTCTCTTCGCTAAACAGCCAAATCTTCACACCAAAGACTTGAGGTAATAATAAATAAAAAATCTGCCGCGTAAAGAAGTCATTTAAGAACACCGTGCTAGTTGCGTTTTTTTAACAACGAGTGTGTTCCTACCAAGCAAGGAACATCATTCCTTACGTGAGTTACCGAAAAATCCGGCCAATCTCACGCAGCAAATTTCCCTGATGAACCAATAGTACTGCCGCCAAAGTATGTATTGGTTAGTAAAGTAAAAAGTTAAGAAGGACAACCAAATATCGTATAACCGCAAATAAATAGTTTTAATAGCCCTGTATCTTACCCCAGGTCGATTGTATGAATGGTTGTTTTTGGAATATATATATTGTTAGTCCTTGTATATAACCATCGACTTAAATTGCGTTAGTGAATAACGGAATTAAACAAATTAAGTACGTAAACGGATTTCGAATAGGTATATTTTGCACAACCGTTGGTCGGATCAGAAAATCAGAGAGACATAGCGAAGGAATCAAAGAAGAGTGCGAGACGAAACCAACTGAGGTGCAACGGAGAAGGCATGTAAACCAACTCTATTTAATCAATCGATATTTATAATCGGATAAAATAAGTTACAGTCATGTGATGATTAAGATGGAAAATGAGCTCACATACGCTTACATAAAAACAGTCAAAGTTGATAAGCGAATAATTAACAAATTCAAAATGTAGCTTACGAAGTATGGATAATTTGGTTTGTTCAGAAGCTGGAATAAGCCATGTGGGCGTAACTTAGCAACTGACACTACATAGTCGAAAACAGAAATCTTAAAAAAGAGTAGTTATGATGTTATATGAAGCGAACAAAAACATGATAAGCATGAAAAAGTGATTTATAAAAGTGATTTTGAATTCAGGGCACAATAAGTAGCTACTTTCATCTGGAATACATCCCATGAGAGTGGGACGTATGAATTAGTTTGCTGCCGCCTGAAATGCAGGGGACAAGAGATGCTGCTTAGTTTGATCTATCGCAGTCCAAGCTGTGAGGTAAACGAGGTTCTGCTAAGCAGTCTCAACACTTTATCACGAAGTGATCGATGTCTAATCCTAGGGGACTTTAATGCACCCATGGTGGACTGGGGAAGTCTGCGGACTGAATCGTCAGCAAATTCCTTCGAACAGGAACTAGTTGATGCGGTAATCACATGTGCCCTAGTGCAACACGTTAAGGAAGCAACTAGGTACGACCCGGGTTCTGCATCATCCTTACTAGATCTTATATTGACTCATTATGAGGATGACGTTTCAAACCTGAATTACATGCCAATTACATGCCTAGGCAAAAGTGATCATGCAGTTTTAAGCTTTGATTTCCATATAACTGTCGATCACGAGCACGCCTCAGCTCAATCCAGACCTAACGTCTGGAAAGCAAACATACCAGACATCATGAAATCAGCATCATCAGTAGATTGGAAAATAGACCCAGAGTCATCAATCGAAACGGCTTGGGACGTATTCCGAAATTTATACTTAAAAGTTACCGCCCCCCACATCCCTTGGACTACACCTAAGGGGCCGAGAAACTCCCCACCGTGGTTCAATAGGGAGGTTCGCATCCTCCGTAAAAGAAGGAAAACGTGGGACAGATTTAGACTATCGGGGACTGACGAGGCAAAATCTCAGTATCAAAAGGCTCGAAATACCTGTGCCTCAACCCAGAAAGCTGTACGAAGAGAAAATCGTTAGGGAATCCATAGAATGCCCTAAACGCTTGTATTCGTATATAAACCAAAGGACAAAAAGAAGAAATGTTCCTTCACTATGGGGAGACAGTACTGCCTCATCACTAGTGGAGGACGACTTTGGTAAAGCTCAAGAATTCTCTAAATACTTTAGCGATATATACACCATAGAAACACCCTTCTCACCAGTTCATGAAAATCCCCCCACACATCACTGTACAGCGTGACCATTAAAGAACTCGATGTCTTTGATCTGCTAGTTAAGCTTGATATAGGTAAATCCACTGGACCCGATGAACTGCATCCTAGGTTACTAAAGGAATTAGCTAACTTTGTTGCGAACCCTTTAAGTGTTTGTTTTAATCTATCCGTAACCCAGAGTCGTCTACCAAAAGACTGGAAGAACGCCATAGTAAGTCCAGTCTTCAAAACAGGTACAAAACTTGAGCCTGAGAATTACCGACCAATTAGCCTAACTAGTGTGGTTGTTAAACTCTTAGAAAAGATTATTCGGAAGGAGCTGATAAAGTATCTCGATGAAAACCGGATCCTCTCCGAAAAGCAGCATGGTTTTAGAACACGTTATTATTATTAGTCGCTCGTGAAAGCTGGTGCGCTCTTAAGGACCAAAAGTTACCTATAGACGTAGCTTACATCGATTTCAGCAAAGCCTTCGACAAAGTTCCGCATAACCGGCTGTTATATAAGCTAAGGAATGTCGGGATTGGAGGCAATCTATTGATGTGGATAAAAGACTTCCTAGTTGGGCGTCAACAAAGAGTAAGGGTGAACTCCAAGTTGTCTAGCTGGGAAACTGTGCTTAGTGGAGTCCCCTAGGGTACAGTTTTCGGGCCAGTGTTATTCCTCCTGTACGTAAATGATCTCCCTCGTCTACTATCGTCATCGGTCTTACTCTATGCTGACGATGTCAAGATATGGAGAGCGATACAAAGCAAGAGCGATAGCTTAGAACTTCAAAATGACCTGGAGAGATTATCTGAATGGTCCCAAACCTGGCAATTGCCGATAAACACTTCCAAGTGTATTGTGATGCATATTGGCCACTAGGGTACAGATACATACACGATAAATAACACTGAGTTACCTATTGTTCAGGCACACAACGACTTAGGCGTCATCGTCAGTCAAGACTTAAAGACTACTGCACACTGCCGTGCAATAGCCGCCAACGGTTTTAGGACTTTATGGTCCATACGCAGGGCTTTTAGGCATCTTGACGCTAAAACGTTTTTGACTTTGTATACAGTGTTCGTACGCCCTAAACTTGAGTATTGCATACAAGCAGCTAGCCCCTTCCTAAAAAACGACAGTGAACTCTTTGAAAGGGTTCAGAGAACAGCAACTAGGCTGATTCCTGGAATGGCGAAGCTCCCGTATGGTACTAGACTGACCAAGCTAAACCTATTCCCGCTGTCATATATAAGAATCAGAGGCGACTTGATTACAGTTTTCAAATTGCTTAATGACAAATTTGCACCTGATATGCCCTCATTTTTCTTGTCTTCCAAAACAGAAAATCTACGAGGACATTCCAAAAAAATTCACAAGCCTCGAACGAATTACCTGTCAGCTGACTACCGACTTTCCCATCGAATAATCAACGAGTGGAATTCATTACCTCAGCACGTGGTTGAGGCTCCATCCGTCGACTCCTTCGAAAGAAAGTTGGATCAGCTGAGAGACCATCGTTGCCAGGACTAACACAGGCCATCAAGCCTCCTATCCTTTCCAAACTGAAACTGAAACTGATCTGAAATACATACTTGAGTGCGACTTCAAGGTCGAGTTGGGTTGAAGGTCAAGTGAACGTAGTGTTGTGATTTTTGGCCCTATGCTAGAGTTTCAGTCTTCCGGCCACGTATGTCCTGTTAGAGGTGCTTTAATGTTTAGCATATGGGATCTGTCCTCTTAGAAGGTCATATCTCTGACAATGGACAATATACTGGTGACAGTTTGACGTTACTTGATGAACCCATTCGTGATACAATTGTAAAAATAGTCTTGTTTATAATGTTCTGAGCAGTTTAGATCAGCTCGCGCCGTTGGTCAAAAGTTTGCGTACGTTTTAGTCCCACGCCAAGGACAGGGGTTGTTGAAAGAATGTAGGTGATCCTCTGATATTAATTCTTTATTTCAGGGGATTTGTGGGGTCCGTTAGTGTTGTGTCTTATCATGTCAGCGTAAGTTTACATATAAACTCCATTACAATTTATTGCTAACCTTTGAAGCAATGCGACTTGAATATCCCAGTGAACGTAGTTTATTCTGTTTCACTCAATGTAAGCCAACCGAACCAAAGATCCCATTTGAAACCCAGCTATAAATACAAACTGGTTGTCTAAAGACATCAGTAGCAGTTTGTTTTATTGACTTAAGTTCAAATATCGCATTATATTATGCATAATGCTCATAAATATGATTCTGACTAAAGTCTGTGAATACCATATATTTACACATTGCTTCAGTTTCAGTTCGGAAAGGACAAGAGGCTTGGTGGCTTGTGTTAGTCTTGGCAAGAATGGTCTCTCAGTCAATTCAACTTTCTTTTGAAAAAGTTGACCTCAACCACGTGCTGAGGTAATGAATTCCGCTGGTTGATGATTCGATGGGAAAGTCGATAGTCAGCCGACAAGTAATTTGTTCTGGGCTTGTGAACCTTTTTTGCAGTGTCCTCGCAAATTTTCACCGTCCTTTTAAATAGCGTCCTAATTGGTGCGTCAACCCAACAATTTGTAAATTTTTCCAAAAACGGTCAAATCAAGACAATTTTAAATCTTATGTTAAAGTTACCACTACCTCAACGTGTCACAAGTTTTTAGGCTAACTGTTCCACAAGGTTGATGTAAATTACGTACTGTAAGCTTTGCGAGTTGATATGTTTTGGTATTGAATGATTAAGCTTAGGAAATTTTAATACTGTAGTCATTCTCTTCAGTCAACATATCATTGGAGCTGGTATGATCTTGTAAAATAACATCTATAGTTAAGAACGACTCATAACTGCCACACAAACTTGACCCGTCATGGGTGTGACTATCTGTTGCTACCTCTGCGTGATTCAACGTGTATTGGGTCAGAACGTTTGGGTCTACACTGATAGTTTTCTTACTCTGTGCCTTGGTCGTAGACGCGCACTGCTGATGGTCCCCACGCTGGAACAAAACAACTATCTAGTGCTTCGAGTTTTTGACTGCTGGTCTAGCCATAATTTATCCTTGATTTAAACTATAAAAGGTTTTCGTTGAGTCATAACTGCATCATTCAGTGGTTGTCATTTTTTCACATGATGGACCATTTGTTAGAATCTAATTATGTAAATTGTTACTCCAGGACTGGCCTGCGTCAACACCTGAATTAAGGATAGGGAGTGAAGTAGTCGAACGCGTCGACAACTTCACTTATCTTGAAAGTCTGATCAGCCCTAATGGGTTGGTGTCTGACGAAATCTCAGCACGGATTCAAAAAGCTCGTTTGGCTTTTGCCAACTTACGTCACCTATGGCGAAGACGAGATATCCGTCTATCAATTAAGGGACAAGTATACTGCTCATCAGTTCGTTCTGTTTTACTCTATGGCTGCGAAACATGGCCATTAAGAGTAGAAGATACTCCTAGGTTACTAGGATTTGACCAAAGATGCCTTGGAAATATTGCTCGCATCTGCTGGGATAACCGGGTAAGTAATAGTGAGGTTAGACATAGGGTATTAGGGAATGATGGTAAATCAGTTGATGAGGTGATGAATCTTCATCGACTGAGATGGTTGGGCCACGTGTTACGTATGCCTGAACATCGGTTACCACGACGCGCAATGTTGACTAGTGTAGGGGATGGTTGGAAGAGAGTTAGGGGCGGCCAAACCAAAACATGGCATCAGTGCTTGAAGTCACTAACTTCTAGTCTGAGCCATGTTGGTAGATGCAGACTACTTGGTTGGGGTCCGCGTGACTATCGTAACCAATGGTTGGAGACTCTAGGTGACATGGCTCAGAATCGATCCCAATGGCGCAGGTGTATACACTCTTTATCTTCCCTTAAACCTTGAGACTAAAATTGCTTCATATCTCTCTTCCTTCCTATACTATATCATTATATACAACCTATAATTTATATACTACTACCACCACTAAATTAATTACTTCTATGAATCCGGTGTTCATCTTGTGCTAACGAGGTATGGCAACTTGGACCGGTGCATAAATGTGCCTGGTCTTACGTTGTCGCTGACTGATTGAATTATGTGTTGTCGAAATGTATCATCGGTGTCCATATCACTTAAACCTGAAGTTTGCCTGTCTGCAATCTGATGCTTGGCTCTTAGAGACTGCAGCTGGTATCCGTATGCATGTTGCACTGGCGGAAGATATATGTATGGCCGTAGATAAAACGGGAGAAAGTAAAAAGGTGGTACATCTGTCTTTTTGTATATGTACGGTTCATGCGTCTGCAAGCTCTGTAAGATATGATCTTTTGGATTAATTGAATAGGATATCCTTTGGGCTTGTTGCTCTTTATTTCTCAGCGATCCAACCTCGGTTCCGAAATCTGTGGATCTAGGTTTTTCATAAGTATTGACGTCAGTTGAGCTTTACCTCTGTTCCATTCTCTATATAAATAGATGTTTTTGAGAAAAGCGAGCTGTCAGTTGTGGCCTGTAGAGGACATATGAGATCCAAAAGGTTTACCGACTAATATTTTCACAAGTGATGTTAGCATTTGGTTTCCTTTTAGTCATTCTTATCAAACGCTTGTAGTTTGTTACAGTTGTTTGTAACATTGATTTAGTCTAGCTAGAATCACTAGATCATCACTGCTGTAACTATACGTACGTTTTTACTTGAGTAAAGTTATCTGTTCCTCAGTGATGAATCTCACTTAACTGAAGGATTATAAAAGAGGCTAGACGATAGTCATTGGGCTTGACCTGTTGGTCGATAAACGTATCTGTGGTTGTAGCCATTATTCAACGGTATTCAATAGAATAACAGAAAAATAGGTTTCTATAGTATTCTCAGTTTTCCATCATACCAATATTCAGGTTGCAGATTTACCCCTTCCTACTTATCATCCCTCTCTTTTAGTTTGGGAAGTTAGGCTTCTATATCTACTTTTGTCCAATATCTATTAATTTATTCAACGCCATGTTTTTTCCTCCAACTAATACATACTGAAGCCATAATATCATGGATCATATTTTGTTAAAATATTGGGCGCAAAACCAATCACATTACTTTCATTTGGGACGCCATTTATTTCTGTTGATTGTTTTTAGGCTCTTGCATAGCAGCTCAAACTCAGAAAGTTTTGGACATGGCGGACCAGAGTTTGCCCAGGTCTTCGTTATTTTTTGGTTGGGTTCAGCAGTTGTGACTTTGAATTCTAAATTACTCGGTGGCGCAGTGTAAGCGGTCATTTTTCATTAGATCGATTGACATAGATTTCTTAGTTGTTTTCGTATTGTTTATAAAGAAATATAAGAGTTCAGGTTGGAAACTTCAATAATAAAATATAATATAATAGCTCTTTAAGAATTATCCTATTTATTGAGACACATAAGCATTGTTACAAGAAGGCACCAAATACATATGCGCTACATAAATCATTCTATATGTGTGAGGGTTGAAATACCGCTCTGGGTGCTCAAACCGAAGCAAGTGGTTTTCTTAGGGGGCCACACCTCGAGTCTTTCACCTAAAGATCCAATCCACAAGGCAGTGGAGCAACGTCAGGAGATGCAGTTCCATGGTAGTCGGTGACCAACAATAGGTTGATACGCCTTTTGTCCCCTTTGGATCCTGGAGCCTATGTGCACCATTGGTTTGAAATCAGGATTTTCCAACTCTCCTGAGTGGATCGTCTATATTCACTAACCCGGCAAAAGCGTCGGACATTCACTTTGCGTCCTCTCAGTTTCGTAAGCAACACCTCTTTGCGAGAGGGCGGTGAGTAGGTCTTCCCTGGCAGTGGTTTTATATGCGTGGGCGTGTGAGAGCATTTCGAAAGGGAGAACTAATTCTTCCCACCCTCAGTCGTACCAGGGCATTAGGCGGATTGAATCGATACAAATTCGTGTATACTTTTAACCAGTGCGACTCAGTAATCAAGTATCAGTTCACTTACTCAATTTTGAGTCGTATTTTTGGTATAATGATCAGTGATACTAATAGGTCTATCAAACTGAAACAGATGGTGAAAGTAAAAACCTATAGTCCAACAGTTGGATATCAAGCTCCGTAACTACTAAGTGATTGTTGGCTTTTCCTTTGATTTTCATTGAGTAAAGAAGTTCTTTCTTTACTCCTTTAATCGAAAACTACTCACTTAAGCGGTAGACTAGATTAATCAGTACTTCTTTTTGTATTGCTTACTTTTGGAAGTTGTGTGAATGGTGACCGACCAGTAAACAAAATGGATTACCTGTTAAACAAACTAATCTGTCTTTTAATTAAATGATCAGTAATTATCTCGGTGTTGATTACCAATATTCAGTACGCTTCAAAGTGCTTAATCACTGTTTCTCCCTTAAAAGGATATAATAAATCAGAAATATCATTTTTTCCCCAAGTGAATACAAAAACCTTGTAAAAGGATATTTTCTAGGGATAATATGGATTATAGATCACCTAAACTTCTGTATAAGAACATAGCTTTAACTTTACTACTGCCGATGTAAGGTGACTAAAAGTTTACTCAAAGTTTGATGTAATCCTTTTTCTGACTAATACATGAACTTCTTATTTAAAAACAAATATCTGTTAAAATAATTCTATTGTTTTTTTTAAAAGGTCATTCCTACAAACCGTGTGCGTCTTGGGGTATTGTATTTTGCCTCTTGTTATTGGTTTGGTTATATGTCGATTACTGTTGCTTGCAAGTTCTAATTCTGTGTTTGTTTTCATCATACGACTATTCATTGTTATTTCTGGGTTGGTTTATTCATCTTATGCATCTTTTATTTTTGTCCATCCTACATTGCCGAAAAATCGTGTTGCTCTCTCTGTATATCCAATAGTTTTGTTTTATGTATTTCTTTCATGGCTTGTAATATCAGTTTCCTAATGTTTCAAGATTATGGTCATCTGATTTTGTGATTTTTCTGGCATTGTTTACTTCTGTTCAGCAACATCTATTGTGATATTATTGATGAGAAAATAGTACTCTGTATATTATTATCTGTTACTGATCTTTTAAAATTCTTATTCTTATGTAATATACCTTTTGTGGTGTTTTGTCAACTTATAGACCAACCGCATGTTAAACCCACTCATCAGGTATTCTCTGTTACATTTATTTAAATACAAATATCTGTTAGTATTTTCTATGTGCAACAAATAGCGTTTATAGAATTTGGAGTTATTGTTTTCAGTGTTTCATTTAAACTCCACATTGCATTAGTCGTGGTTGGTTTATTGTGTACTTAGTATTACTTCTTTAAGACCAAATGTTTGTAAACCCATATAGGTCTTTGGACACCAAGACTATATTTCCTCCGCAGTTTTATCAAGACAGGTATGTAACTTGTGGGGCAGTTTTACTTCTGTAATCGAAACCTCTGTCATTAGCCACCACAGTTTATTTATTCAGGTTTCAGCTGATCTGACGTGCACCCAGATTTTAAATGGTTAATAATATCATGTCATAGTTAAAAGTGATGACCAAAAGTTGTATGTATTTGTCACCCTGAAGTTTTTCTGAAAATAATCATGGGTATTTCATTGAAAGCATTGAAACCAACGGTTCAGAGTTTATTTTCATGTCAACACTTAGGTCTCCATCACGGCTGATAATCAGAATGTGACATTAATTTCCATCAAACTAGTGGTTATTGTGTCCTTCTGTTATGTAGTTGCCCATCTCTTTGAACTCTACGTTATGAGCATCTTTTGGTAATGCTTGTTTGTTCCGTCCATTTCCAGACTAATTCCGTAGGGAATCTTTGGTCATTTAGATAATTGACTACTGTTTACTCCGTCACTGCTAGATTTTCATAATAGCTTTAACACATTCATTCTACTTAGTTAAGAAGCAGTTGCGCTGCTCTGTTAGTAATAACGGGACTTAGTTGATCACTTTATAACCTCTTAAGTAAATAATCACTTTTTTCAGAGTATTTTAACACTAATATTTTTCTTCTGATTATTTATATAATTGTATTGATAGTTTTGTAGTTAAGATCATGAGTCATGTATTGATAGTTACCGGTGAAAAAAACCAAATGAACAGTTAGTGTTTCATGACGACCATCAGTCAGTAAGCAATCTCAAAAACATAACTGCTACGAAGTGGTAAACCGAATTCAATTCTTATTCTCTGTCATATCTCGTAACGGGTTGTGTGTAAAAATGTATGATGCTCAAATTTCCCACCTCTTCGATGGTAACTTCATACATGTTACTATTGTATGTTATTAAACACTTGACATATAATTTTGGTTAAGAATACCTTATCAAAGTCTATCGTAGAAAATGCCTAATCGACGGATAATCTACGTATACCTTGACAGATTAAGAAAGATCAAGTAACTGGTCTTAGATACAAGTAAGAAAGAAACTTTGTGGTAATTGATTGATACCATAGAGGCTTTTTAAGAGTAATGATGCATGGAATCAAGAATGAATCATAATATCATCTGGTAGAATTTTTATTTAGAATTTTTGTGTTAGAAACTGGAGATACTATGAGTTATAATCATTCAACAAGTACCTTAGTCAAGGTAGGAAGTGACTTTTTCGCTCCGCTAAAAGTTATAGTGTTATTTAGAACATTAGCTACCGGTTAATTGTCTACTTGTGAGGAGAAGTACTATGTTAGTTCTTGAATTTACCTGCTGATCTATTCAATAAAACAAGCTCCTAGTAACAGTGAGGGCGGAAGTGCTAAATATCTCGAGGGGTTTTTTCTCGAAGATTACTTGAATAATGTTCTGTAAGCAATAAGAACTGCACGTTTATTTGATGATATAAGTACTCAAATAATAATGTTTCACTGAATAGATGGCTTGTTGTTAGTAATGGAGTCTAGGACGCTCATTTCGTCCTGTGTGGGACTTGTAAACCGGACGTATGTACATCCCGTTGTTAATGTTCACACATTTCGCTTTCAACCACGATGTGTTATTCACTTCGTTACTAACTCCATATAGTCTCTAGCTTGTTTAATTGTTCAGGTGCTTACTTTCAGGGTTTTGATTTTGCATTTATCGTCATTAGCCGGTTAGGTGTATGAGTAATCTTGTCAGGAATCTTAATTATTTTGGTTCTAGAATAGGCATCGATTAGGGAAAAAAAGCTTAAATTTAGGAATATTTCTAATACAATCAGTGAGTATAATAAGAAAGCTATATCGTGCTATGGTGAATTTAAATAATATGAAGTAAGGCGCTTGAATTTATATAAAGGGAATAAGTATCTAAGACGTTGATGTTACTGGAATAGTCTCATTATAGGTCAAAAACAACTTTGTTGATGTCTCGTCATAAATAAATAAGACATGGTTGTTTCATAACCTCATCGCTTTATACGTTTTTCAAGAAAATTATAGGAAATACAATCAACATCCACTGGTTTCCTTCATTTACCTTATAAAAGGTCGTCCACATTATTTCATGCTAATTTCTATTTCTTAAAACACATTAAAATAAAAATAGGTGTTTTTAAAGTGGTCAGTTATGGTCAAGTTAGTTGCATACTATTTGTGCACACGAAACTATGTTCATATTGTGAATGTTTGTTGGTTGGTTGGACTGATAAATTTTGACAAATAAAATGTTCTAAAAAATCACTTAGAACATCATATATTTTAAGTTGTGGTAACTGAGTGTTTACTGTTGAAGGCCACTATACCATCCCACTTAGAGCTTAAATGCATCATGTGATGAGTACATATTCCAACATATATCATGGGAATTAAAACAGATATTTGAGTTTTGCAATGCATTCACTAAGTTGATAAATTTGTACAGAAACAAAACCGTTGATAGACTACTTATTAGTGCTCATTATAATTTCTGGGAAATACAAAAAGTACAATTCAATAAACCAAATATATGGAAATGCGGTATTTAAGATCAATATGCAAATACAGACCTAATTATTTTCAAACATAAACCCAGCAATACATTCACCCATTAAGAAAAATTGTTATAAGGGGTGGGTAAGGAGTACCTAATGACCAACAATTTCACTAAATATCATAATGTCCAGTGTTTAACTTTTCTACTGACAATACTTTGGAGCAGCTTGACTTAAAAGTGAATGCGCCACTTTTTGCAAAATGGTTATTTTAGTTACCATTAGAACTGATCCTTAATTTAGCCAGTTACCCGTCATGCGGCATAGGACGTCGACCAAGAATCCCCAATTGCTTTTGTCCTGAGTTTTTAGATGACTACATCCAGTTCCCGGCCCTATATGCTCTTCAGTCTGCTTTTCTTCCTTTTGCCTTGAGTATTCCAAGTTAGGGCTTGCCTTTTGATGTAAAAACTTACTCTTACCGACTGAATTGATGAATATCTAGTGTTCACATTTCCTCACAGAATTAGTACTTTAACAAAACATATATACGATTGTACACCTTGATAATAAATTCGTTGAAAAGAGATTCCTTCGCTGAACTTCGTGTTTTTAATTTTAATATTTAAATGAGAATTATATGCCAATTGAATATCTACGAGTAAATAGACTTCATAAACGAATGATTCGGCATCACCACTGCAATTGTACTCCATCGTGGAAATTTACAGCTAACTTTTCAACCTCTTTGGATTAAAAGTTTACTTTTCTATGGAGCAATCAATTAATATTGAGATACACTTTTCATCTGTCTAACTTTGATGAAGATAAGGTATAAATCTTGCCTTTTCATAACACTTATTATTACCTATAACTAGGATGTTCTTGTATGTAATATAATTGTATACTCATAAGGAAAGCGTTTGCTAACAGACGATAAATAAATAAGGAGCACAATGAAACATGCTGTCTATTCTTCGTAGTATCAGGGAATGCATTATAATGAGGTTAGATACACTTTTAATTATGGCCAATGACTGGTTAATAATGTCTCCTAAAATACCGATGGAGGATTGTTGGTCTCTCTGGCTATAACGTCGAACAGCTCTCAATTATCGTAGTTAAACTGTTCTCTGTATGAATTAAATGGACAATGAAGCTCAGGAAAAGTAATAATTGTCAGGTAGATGGAAACGATTTTTAAGGTGATTACTAATGTTGCTTTTTTATTTCCTAGTTCCATCAGTGGATGATTACAGTAGGCGAACGTTTTTTACAATATATCTTTTCCTCAACCTACTTACTGTGCGAAGTAATTTCTTAGGCATTTCCATCATGCATTCATAAACAAATAATCTTTTTTTAGGAACGGAGATACATAATTTTTTGATGATAATAATAATAGTATCATTGCTTCATTTGAATCTCTTTAAGAAAAGATAATAATTAAAGTTTTAGTTAAAAATGAAAACTTAAATTTAGTGACATGTTTATTACAACATTTTAACATCTTCGATTAATTTCATTGGTGAAATAACTTTTCTTTTGATGTTGTGTAACATGTATTGTCTTTTATTCTTATTTCTAGTTTCAAAATGCTTATCACTAGTTTATATTATGGCTGAAGTTTTCTTCTTTTCAGTACTTTAATGATGATTATCACTGGTGTTTTTATTTAAAAGTCAATTTATAACAGATTAATGTTTCTTAAAGTAAGTTGTTTCACTAATTACATAAATTTCGTTAGTTATTTAACTTCAATTTGAATTAAAAAATAGTGGTTTTTGGCTTTTGCTATTTTTCTGTTTGTTAAAGTTTTGATGCTGATCATTAATATACTATCAAATTAAGTCTACAATGTAATACCTATATAAGTAATTAACCAATTGGATTAGAGTTAGAGCTTGTTTATATTGGTGAGTTGAGTAGATGACCTTCACTTTGTGCAGAATTATGATTGTTTTTATTTCAATAAAAATGCACACATGATAATGTGACTAATAAAAGTATGTAAAAAGACAACGAGACTGATCAAAAGTAGATAAATGAAGAATTAAGTTGCTATACAATTCTATCAAATTGAAGAATATATTTGTTCAATTAATTTATAACAGAACTTCTTATAATCCCTTTTTGAAGTTTTTGGATTATTATTATTTCTATAGAGTAAAGTATGCTTTTTGGTACATAATATATTATGGTTAAAAAATTATAATATAAATCAATCAATAATATGTCCATTGAAAATTTAAAAAAACTTTTACAAATTTATGATTTTGAAAATTCCGGTGATTTAAATAAAACAGAATGGATAAAATTATGCTCAAATTCAACAATTAATATATCCAAAGAATTATCATTAACATTATTTAATGAACTTGATACAGATAAAGATGGATTAATTAAAATATCAGATATATTACAAGAATTAAAAATATGGGAAGAATCAAATCAATCAAATTGTAATTTTAATCATTTTGATAGAATTGATAATAATAATAATAATCAAAATGGGAATGAATGTAAAAATGAGGAATTAATTTTAGAACAAGATAATGGTGTTTTTGGTAAAAATCAAACCGAACAATTGTCAAGAATATTGTCCAGATCGAATATAAAATCAAGTAGGAACATTAGTTTTTTTTTATGAATTGAACTTTAATGATTTTTAATTTCTTTTCCTTTTTTCTTTACTTCTTCAAGATCCAATTATCTTAGAAAGACGTAAAAAACGATATCCAATCATTCCATCGGAAATAATTATACGAAATGAAGGAAGTGATCAATGGATGCCTAAAAAAGAAATTAATCCAGATGGATCAGAAGTTTTTACAACTACACCTATAGTCAAAACTCCAAGGTAGGTAATCTAATATATTTCAAAATCGAAATCATGAGTCAATTAAAGCTAGACCACCATCGAAAACCTGGAAGCACTGGACGGCCGTTTCGTCCTATTATGGGACTCCTCAGCAGTGCGCACCCACGATTCCGCACTCGCGAGACTCGAACCCAGGACCTACCAGTTACGAGCCACAGCCATTAACCGATAGACCACTGAGCCGGCATCCAATGGTGTTAATGTCTAACTTCAACTGATCCACGAATTATGAGCGACCATTCACCAATTGCCTTCCGTGAGTTGTTATCTCACAACAGACATGGTTGAACTCCACTGGTCACTGCTTCCCACTAGAACTCCAGGACATGTATCACTAGTAAGCATATGATTATAATCAAAAGGGGATTTGTGGAGATTTCAGTATATTTCAAAGTTGAAATCATGAGTCAATTGAAGCTAGACCATCATCGAAAACCCATAATAGGATGAAACGGCCGTCCAGTGCTTCCAGGTTTTCGATGGTGGTCTAGCTTCAATTGACTCATGATTTCAACTTTGAAATATACTGAAATCTCCACAAATCCCCTTCTGATTATAATCTAATATACTTTAATCTGAATATACATATTGACTTTGTAAAGTGTAAGCATTTCTAGATTATTCACTGATAGAAACTTTATATTGAGTACTTGATGGTTAATATATAGATTAAATTTCGCTTGATTTTACTGTCTGAAGTATGATTTTTTATATTTGAACTTGATGTTACAATAGTATATCAAAATAAAGTGAAAATACTTGGGAACCTTAAGTTCGATAGATTAACACATTCCTGCATGATGATTAACTCGTTTATGTATTATTGAAATAAAGCACTAAAGTCATTGACGTTGATTTCTTTGAGCCATAACTCCTTACTCTATCTACAAAATCGGATAAGTCGCATGTATTAGACTATAATTACTTTCCAAAGAATACTGTCAAATAATGTTTTTCTGTGCAAACATTCTTTTTTTACGCTAAAGCGATGATTTAGACGTTAACTTTAAGTTTAACATCTTAAATATTGGTTTCCTACTATTGTACAAGAAGATATATAATATATTGGTTCATTGACTTCTTTGTGACTGCTTCTAAATATTTTGTAGAGAATTACAATACAGCTCTTTTGAAGAAAGGTAATAAGAAGTGATGAAAAGTTAGAGTATTAGTTAATTAAATGTAAGGATCGCTGTGTTAACGATTTATTATATTGTAACAAATTCTTTTCTTATTTGATGTGTAATTTCTTGAATCTCCCCTTTGTTGATGTTGAGGACTAAATTTTTACCAGTCTTTCTTGGCATGTGTGCATCCTGAGCGACTTGGCTTGATATTGCCTTTAAGTCACAAGTATTTTAAGTCAAGATGAATAACGGCTAGTAGTGGAATCCAGGACATGTGTCTCATCTCCTGTTGCGTCAGCTGGTGGCTATCTGGAGTCAATTGTTCAGTGGATAACGCATTAGAGTTTGAGGCATAGGGTATTAGATTCGAGTCTTGATGATGCATCCAGCCGAAGAGTCATAAATAGGACAAAGCGTGTGTCCAAGATTCCACTGCTAGCCACTATCTGTCTTTCCTTACAGTTCTTTCATAATCTAAGATACAACACATTCAAAATCAGATTAGATTCTTGGTGTGAAATATTTCAATGAGCATTAAGTATATATTGAGTTATTATTATTAAAACACTTGTAAATATATGCCTTAGTTTATTGATAATATAGTGATCTATACGTATAAATCTTTTTATCAGATAGTATTATTGAGTATGATGAACCCTTAAGTAAAATTCTAGTGTACAGATTTCAAAATAGAATTGACAATATGATGTATATTGTTACAACCCGTATATACCACATCTCAAAGTTAAAATGATTTAAATAATATACCAATATTATCTTCACTATTTATCAAAGGATTCGCATTTGAAAGCTATTTTCTTAATTGTCAAGCTCATAGTACCGAATTGTAAATCTATATATATTAAATCATAAATAACAATGTAATCCGGTCACCTTTATTAGAAAGATTTGCAGTTGTAATTTTTTTTTCTTTTACACTTTACATCACTGATTGATCTTAATTAGACAACCAATAAAAACTAGAAACCGTTGGACAACTGCTTTATCTCAGCGTCTGACTTTATCAGTGCACATTCCCAACCCAGTTGGGGATTAAACCCGGTAAACCCGCAGTAAACTCCTAACTTTTAGATGGCTAAATCGGCATTCAATAATTTACATGTCTAACTTCAATCGATCTTGAATAATATCTTAAATTGTTGTCAAAATGAAATAGATATGGTTTATTGTTATCAATATTACTGAATCGATTACTTATGTGATGACTAATTATTGGTCTTCATCTCCATAATTAAGTATATACAAAGGGACAGTCAAATAGTCAATCAATCAATCATTCAGTTGAATTTTGATGAAATCTCATCAGGAGTTTAATATGTATTTCAATAGATGTAATTAATTCATCATTTCAATATAAGTTACTTTTAATGAATTAAAATTATTCATTCCCCATATTTCGGTTTAGATAAATAAATGAATCGTTGATATTGGACAAATGCTAATTAATTCAAAGATAATTCAACTCTAGTGATAGAAAAACCCAGAAGTGTAGTTATTTTTTATTACCACTTACTATGAAGCATTAGCGGTGAACATAATGTTGAACATGTTTTGTTAAGTGCACAGATGACTCCAAGTTTGTTCTTCTATTGAGTTGTAGTGAATAGAAAATCAATTTACGCACACACAGTCGTGGACTCAATCATGTTCTACTTGATATATTGATTTATCTAAACACCGATTTCAACACTTAGTACCATGTCAAAATTCATTAATATGACTAAACAACCTCAATAGTATAGAAATATATATAGCAGATTTCTTATACATAATATATTTTTTGGGGACGCGGCGGAGGGAAAACTGTAGGGTCCTAACTGCGTTAATGGCAATATATTTCGTTAGAATGGAATCTTTATAAATATTAGCCTACTTTTTTCTGGTTTAAAATAGCTATTTAAATGATGTTATTATAGGATTGAAATCTTCCCTAGCGTAGTAAGTTTCATTGAAACCACTGAGTGGATTAAGTATAATATTTGCCAATGATTCATATATGTACATTTCTAAATTGGATAACCAAAAGAATTCAGTGATCCAGGATGATATATATATATATATAGCATTGAAATATTGAGATATATCACACAACGAAGGTATTAGACTTTTCTTGGTCGGAATTGTAACATGAACAATCACACTTCACTAATTTCTAACGACAACAATTTGTCTGAGAATTTTAAATACGATCTTATTGAAAGATGAAGATAAATTATTGGCCAAACCAATGTTTCTGATTTACGATCTCTATGCTTGCATACAAGGCTTTTAGGCACAACTTTTATATAAGGTTTAATGATGCCACCCATGTGACCGAATTGAAGTAGACGAAATGAAGTATGAATCTGTGATTTTATGGTTAAAATACTCAGATTTTAACCATAAAACCACTACCGCATCCATCGAACTTTCAATTTACTGATAAAATGTCGTATGTGAACTGTCGACATTATTAGCAATACTGTGGTGTGGGTTACTGATATCCACATAAGTAGTATATAGGGATGATCGGGCATTAAGTATATTTCAGTAGAAGATCGATAAGGAGAGAACGAAAACGGCACGCAATTGGTATGAAAATTCATGAACAATTATAATCGGAGACTATGGAGGGATCTTTGCAGAAGAAACAGTCAAATTGAGACAATTGATTGTTATTTTACAAATCAACTGTTCACTATATGGTTCTCATATTTTAATGAGATATTCTGTAATGTTGTGCTAGAATACATTCGATTGTCCCCAGTCATGTTTCTGTTCATTACAATACTATTATTCATATTTTTACAAACTGAAACTATGTGACAGTATTTATTTTTAAGATTTTAACTTTCAAAAATCAAATTTTATTTTATAAAAAAACACAGAAAGAAATAGATATTAATCATGATGAAAATTGCTTCAATTATAGTACATATCAAATTTTTAAATTTGCAGTATGTTTTTGTAGATTGTCTCTGTAATTTACTAAATCATTACAAACACCGCTAATTTTCTTGAACATATGACAGTATATATGGTGAAGTAATTTATGTAGCACAAAGATGACATATGATCTGATCATTTATAATAACTGAAAAAAGGTGTAGTAAAGTTACAATTTTCAATTATAAATACTCATTTATTTAATATTATGTTCTTTTAAGGGTAGAAGTTATTCTAAACACATTCAAATGAAGCTAATCAACATACAAATATAATTACATTTGTACTATTTTTATTAGCAAACATGCTTAGTGTATGATAATGTACATCTAATGAAATGTTGATTCCACATCCTATTTCTGGTTATTAATTCATCTGTTCCAAGAAAGTGTTTCTACTTTATCGTCTGATCATAAGAATCAATAACTTAATGCTGTTGTAGTGAACAGAACACTAGTTGGGGACAATCGAATGTGTTTAAGCAAAAATTACAGACTATGTCAGTAAATTCTGAAAACCATACAATGAACAGTTAATTTGCAAATTAACAACCAATAGTCTCAATCTTCACTGTTTCTTCGCTAATTCCATTTTTTCATGCATTTTCCCACCGATTGCGCTTCATTTCAGTTCTTTCCTCATCGGTCTTCTGCCAAAATACATTCTACGTCTGATCATCGCCATATACTACTTATATGGATATAAGTAGACCACACCACACTGTATCTCTACTTCAATCTTTCATTTGATTCCATTTTTCAATGTTGTGTTACATTAGTTTATGTAAGATTCCGATATTTAGTGTTCATTTTACAAACCTATTAAATAAAATATCGACTATGTATAGTTTTAAGTTTTACGCAAACTTGTTTTAAAAAGATGTAATTCTACTTATGTTATAATGTA